GTGAGAATCTTTCCAATTAACTGCTAGATTCAAAAATCTTCTGGAGATTCTCAGGATCATTGCCTTGCCCATCTTCTACATATAACTGTATTGGTCAAGGAGACATCTTTACAAGAAAGAAACATCAGCCTTCAGGCTCTGTGGTTGGCAGGGAAAGAGGGTGCTGTGTCTTTGGTCTTGAACTGTAGGGTATCGATCGCCCAGCTTAGGCCTCCCAGAAGGTGTTAGAAAGGTGATGGTGCCTACTGTGGTAAAGCAAGGGAGAAAGGGTGAGGAGAGTTCATGCCACCCTGTGAATTCCTTCATTTGTAGCAACAGTGTCTCTCTTCCAGGGTAGAGGTTCCTCTTCTGCAAATGAAGAGCAATATCAATGAAAAATGTTAGTGAAAAAAATGACACATAACCTCCTGGAGTCAGAGATCAAACGTTAGCATCTTGGGGAAGTTCTGTGAAGGTGGAGGTCCCCGTTTCCTAACATCACTAACCTGGCCCAATAAATGCCTACAGCGCATAGCTGTTGATATAGTTTCAATGAGTAGGTAGATGGGTGAAAGGATGGATGGATGGATAGATGGATGGATGGATGGATGGATGGATGGATGGATGGATGGACAGATGAGCCAAAACCGAAAGTGCTATCTATCCTTTAGTTACAAAGAAGTCTACCCCTGGAGACTTGCTGTCCTCTCCTCTGCCTCTCTGAGGGATGGTACCCACCATCTTATCATGCTACGACAAGACTTTGGGTGTCTCCTTCCTTACTCTTTCTACCGCCTCACAATTAGATTTAAATTCCACCTTCTAAATTTCCAGCTTTTGAATCTTCCCCATCACTATCCTCACCGCCCCCCCCCCCAGTTCTTTTCCTGGACTCCTTTATCATGTCCAAACTGTTCTCCAAGCCCTCTGGTCTGTAATGTTCATTCCAGTCCACTCTCCACACCTGGGACAGAATAATCTTTAAAAAACACAAAATGATCAGCTCATTAATGCCGCTGCCACCCCCTTCCTTCCTGCTTCAGCATGGTCGGTGCCTCTCTCCAGATTTTAAGACCCCCCCACTAAATACCTAAGCGTACCATCCCCCACCCGTACAGCCTTGTTCCGGTCTGCCTGTCCAGTCACACCTGGCCAAGCCACACCTTGAGTTCTGTGTTGCCTCTAGCAACACTATGCTCTCTGCCCCTGTCCCATTGCTTGATGGTGTGATTTAAATGCATTTTGTCACCACTGATACTCATATTAAGGCATGGTCCCCAATGTAATGATGATGAGAAGTAGTGGGCCTTGAAGAGCATTTGGGTCGTAAGGAACCCACCCTCAGGAAGGATCAGTGAAGCTCGCTAGAGTGGGTTAAGCAAGTCCAACTTCCTCGATTTGCTCTTGCTTCCTCTCAAACACATGACCCTTCCCCACAACCTACTTCCCCTTCTGCTTCTCCACCGTAGTAAAGTACTGTGTGAGCCCCTTGCCAAGAATGCCCAGCAGTCTGCTCTTGGACCTCCAGAACTGTGAGCTAAATAAATCTTTTTTTTTTTTTTAATAAATTACCCAGCCTTGGATATTCTGTTATAGCAACAAAAAACAGATTAGGACAGTGGGCTTCTTGCTCTTCCTAGAATGTTCTTCTTCTGCCTTCTCTGTTTCTCTTCCACACTCTTCTGATCTCACCTCCAGCATCCCTCCCTTCGGATGCTGCTCTAACTGCCCTGACCCCGCTAAGAACTCAGGGCCTCTCCTCCTCTGCACCCAGTGCTTAGTGCAAGCCTTCTCAGGATGATCTGCAGTGTCTTTGTCCTTCCCAGATACCTGACTCATTGAAAGCTGTCTTTTGGTCTTTGTTGAACTTATCATGCCCCCTCGTTCCTGGCACCGTAAGTGTTTATCACATTAATAAATATTTTGTCTTACTTTCAGAAATACACTTTCTTAGCCGCATAGTTTCAGTCATACTACATAATCAGCCAACTGGGTGACCATCACGATAATACTAAGATTAGGGTGTAGTCTATGATTCTAGAGAAATCAATTAAGTTAGACATGTGGGGAGCATATTTTTCAGCCCAAAGTCAGGATACACGATCTAACAAATTTGAGTACATATTTTCTTGCCCAGAAAAATATGAATATATAATGCATACAGCTATGCTATAAGATCTGTCATTTTTGCTTTACTATGTTACCCAAATATGCCAACTCCAGACACTAAAATAATAACAGCCATTAGTGAGTAGTTCACGTTCCATGAGCACCGAGAATTCCGTGAAAGGCTTTCTACCATTTCATTTCATTTCCTCTACTACCCTTTGAAGCAGATCTTTTTCATTATCTCCATTTTATAGCTGAAGAGACTGAAATGTAAAGGAGATTAAACTAGCCACAAGTCACACAGCAGCGACGGAGGAAGAGTCTTCCCACAGGTTCTGTGATACAAACCTAACCATGACAACTTAACCTTTTTAGATAATCAAAAGAAACACTTGTGGGCAAAAATAGCAGTGGCTTCTGGCCATTTTTTTTTTTTTATTAAAACTCTAAATCTCTTGGCAGTAACTTTCGAAAGTCATGATTCAGACTAGCAGTGATAGTTGAAAACAAAATCACGGTGCAGGTCTCCTGGCTGCAGACAGAAGCTTGCTGCCAAAAAGAAATGGCTGACCTCCGAGTTTCCGGAGACCTGTGTTTTTCCGATTGGTTGGGCTTGCGCCATCAGTGACTAGTGAAAGGCCCCAACACTCACTCTGTCCCTCGGGGAATTGTCTCTTTCGGGTTTCTGGCTTTGTCTACAGAGATAGTCACAATGAGATTCGTGGCAGTGCTTCTCAAAGTTCTGTCTGCTGACCATAATCACAAAGCACATCTGAACAGTCAGAAAGATGCGCATTCCTGGCGCCCCCCCAGGCCCTCTCCTGAGAGCCCTGGAAGCAGCATTTTAGTCACATTCCCAGAAAATTCTAACGACTACCAATGTGCAGAATGACGAGCAGAGTTTCCACAGCCTCCTACCCAGCAGCACCAGTGGCTTGTTAGCTGGTGGGGCATTGGGGGATCCAACCCTGAACTGCTAATCAGAGCTGCCTCTTCACACGATCCTCAAGTAATTCATACATGCACATTCCTGCACAGTGAGCCAATAATCTAAAATAACCTCTTCCAATTTTTTAAACCTCAATTACACATAGAAAATAAAATCCTTTATTTCATGTACTGGGCACACAACCGAGAATGTTGGCTGTGGCCCTGGAGCTCAGCCTGCCGGGTCGCACCTGCCACCCTGAAGGCTCTGGGGAGCAGTGTGTCAGGTGCACTGTGCGGGGGCACACAGCTGAGAAGCACTGGGCTGAAAGTACCCGCCGCTCAGTTTTTAGGAAGCGTAATCCCTACACTCACTTTAATTTTCTAAAGCATTTCTTATTTATTTTCATATAAACTAAGAGTGAGAAAGGCTGCTTCCCACCCAACTCATCTTAGAAAGCTTCATATGGTAAAAATAAAAGATTTTTTAAAAAACCTTGTCACACCTTCACATTCTACATAAAGTGTTGAAAAAAATGCAGAGAAAATGTCCGTCATTCTGATGAGTCATCCGCTATGGCCCAAGGAAAATCAGGAAGGAATAAGCTTCCCGGCCACAAGAATGTTCCTATCCCTCTTGGACCACAAATCTGAGGCCAGAGGATTAGCAATACTCAAGGTGGCTTCCTCTCTCCTGAGTGCCAGGAAGAATGTCATTTTGTTTAATCCTCCCTTAGCAAAATCTGTCAGGCTGTAAACTGGACAGGTGTCCCTTTTCTCAGCCAGCCCCTGATAATGGGGTGCCAGGTGGGGCGGAGGAGTGGCATATCTTCCGAAACACTTCCCGGGGAGACCATCTGATGGAAGCCACTGAGTGTCAGGCACACCATCTGACTCTGCAAAGCCCCTGGTTACATGAGAAGTCCATTGATTTATTTTTTGTTTCCTAAGAAAAATGTTGAAGGAATTTAAAGCTGGAAATGGTGAACTCCTCCTCTGAAGCAACTACAAGGAAGTTCGGCCTCTATGTGAAGGACTGCTACGCTCTAAGCAAATACAGTGGCCAGAGGGGGCTGGTGACCATTGCCACCAAACCGTTCATCTCTATTTCCTGTCTCCAGTTTGCCTAACAATTTGCCTTGGTTCTCTGACTGTGTTCCCCCCACCTAAAGCATAATAGATAAATAAACCACCCATCTTCCAGTGGGCTTGGGTGGGACTAGCCCTCCTCTGTCCCAATACTTCACATTCTTTAAGCGCAGAAGGCTCTACTTCATACTCTAGCCATGCCTGAGAGAGGGCTCTGTCCGTCATCCCTCTGCATTAGTGGCGGAAAGGACAGTGACAAAGATGCTGTCATGTGCCACCTCCGACTTGAGCTCCATGGAACTCTTCCCTCCATGCAGGCCCTTTTTCTCCTCTGCCCAAGAAGTTTTAAAAACTAGTTAGCAGTTCATCCAGAGACACCATCACGTCTTTCAAAAGGAACAGATTTCCTCTAAGTTCCTCCCAAGAAGTGCTAGTATTGATTTCTATTCCGTGAGCATCTTATTAACAAGCTTTTGAAAATGTAAGCTTAGGGGATGCAGCAGGCTTGGGCCTCCCATGCCAAGTGGCATAGCTATTTGACGTGACCGCTTCCAGCACTGAATGCTGAGCCCTCTCTCTCTGCTTCTTGGCCCAGGATGAAGAACAAGCTGTGGTACTTTGAATTTGGCACCTCAGAGACCTTTGCGGCCACCTGCAAGAAGCTCCACGACCACATAGAGTTGGAGGTAAGCTCCCGGACACAGGAAGCAGACTTTTTGATTTTGTTCCTGGAAAGTCCTCCACACACACACCCCCCTCAGGACATAGCCTCGGGGTGATGCAGAGCGTGGTGGCCCCTCCCTCCCATCTCCAGACCCCTGCACAGCATCTCTTCCAGGGCTCCGGTTGTTGGGCTTGCATTTCTTGGCCTATATATATATAGAGGATCCCTGAGCTCTGGGACCCATGGAACCTAAGTGTCCCTCCCAGCACAGCACTGCTGACACCCTGACCCCGTCTGCCTCAGAAAGTCAAAGGACAGAGGCACTGCTGTTGGTGTAAGCAGTGCCCAGAGCCAAGTAAGAGCCAGGGAAACCAGACACCCCCCAGCTTGCTCACTGCAAGGAGGTTACTCGCAGGAGCCCAGGGTCAGCTTCTGGGGTGCCACCCATGCAGTCACGAGTCCCTGTGCTCAGGAGGCCCTATGTTGCCATCTTGATATCCTAACGATTTTTTTTTTTTAAACAGAGAGCTATGCATTTTCATTTTTAACCTGGTCTCACCAATTATGCAGCCGATCCTGTTGGTGCACTTGGGTTTTCCCAGCTGCCCTGGCGCTTGTAGCAGCCTGCCCCAGACAGTTTGGCTGTGCACACCCTTTTGCTGGTTGATATGTTGCCTCCTTTCCACCTCCTACCCAACTCCTGCAGGGCTGCTCTCCTGAAATCCTCCTGTTAGCGGTCATGGCGTGTGCACCCAGGCTCTTGCCCCCAACTCCCCGCACACTGGCTGTCTGCCCCACGAAGGGCCCCAGGCCTATTGGCTCTCAGCTCACAGCCCCCTCCCGTGGGATTCAGGCCTCTAGTCCAATTTCCAATAGAACAAAACCGGTGAGAGAGGCAGCTAGGGCACTCTACTGTGGGCTCCTCCTGGCTCCCCAGTTTGGCCTCAAAGGGACCCAGGCATCCCTTTGAGAGGCTCGGTGGGCCTGCAGCAGTGTGGCAAAGCCCACCCTTCCTTTGCAGAAGGGGGGCTGTGGGCACAATTCTCTCGCAGGCAGTTTTCACAAACAACACACAAAGCCAGAGGTTCCAGGCTCTATTTGACTCATCTGCCCGCCTCTCCCCTTTGGTTGCTGGGTTACTGGCAGCAGGGAGGGAAGCCCAGATCCTTGCCTAATTCACTGTCCCTTGGGCCAGCTTGGCCAGAGGGCACGGGGCCCAGAAATGAGCCTGTGTCCCCAAGTGACAGCCATCCGAGGCCACCTACACCTGGAAGAGGCTGAGGATGCAGTGTACCCCTGTTGGACAACACACTCCCCGGGAGCTGCCTCTGAAGGAGAAGTGCCTTGGCTGGCAGACTGAGCGTGGTGACAGGCTCCTGCGCAGTTTGCCTGTTGGCATGATTGGCTGCTGGGGTCTCTTTAAATACACCACAAATGAGGGACAACCCTGGCCTAACCACAGCCAGCTGCAGACACACAGGGACTGCTTATTCTCCCTGCAGCTGGCCTTGACATTGTGCCCAGAATACAGCCCCCCTGCCTCGGTGCCCGCCCTCCTGGCTCCAGGCTGGCTGTGCCAGACAGTCCCCTCTGGTCCGAGAAATAACAGCAGTTCCTCAGTGCAGAGGGAGCCACTGGCCTAGCAGCAGAAGACACTAGTGGCCTCCGCAAGAGTGGGTTACTTACGCTGTGGGTTGTTGAGCATTTTCAGAAGCGCTTCCTGTTTGCCTTATCTCCCCATAATGAGTCTTTTAAGCGTGCACTCTTGAGGGTAGTCTGGGAGAAGGGGTCATATGACAGTGGCCTCTGACAGCCTGTGGGACTGGGGCAGGCACCTTCTACATCCAGAGAATAGCAGGTGGACAGGGCTGTGATCCAGAGCCTCTGTGAGGGGCAGAGGGCGCAAGGCCTATGAGTGGCAGGCACAAGGAGCCTGCAAAGCACAGCAGGTACACGGAAGAGCACGGGGCACAGAGCAGCACTGGAAGCCACCAAGTGACCCTGTGGTGGCTGCTGCACTCACAGCTGTGGCCTGACCAACTCAAGGTCCCCCACCCACGAATTTGCATCGCTTGCAGAGCCCTGTCATGACCTTAATCTCAGTCATGCAAAGTCCCCGGGAAGCAAAAGGCCAGGGCTTATTATCCCCATTACCTGGAAAAGCAAGCTGAGGAACAGAAGATTAGGATGGTAGAGAGAGAACGAAAAATGAAAAGGGACAGAAAAGGTCAGGTGCTGAAACTATCATAACTGTCCTCATTTGCTATGCCAACGCAGAGGGACAAATATTGTCATCTTTTAAATAAGGCTCAGATACACTCAGTAACCTGACCAAAACTTCATTGCTGGCAACTGGGAGGAAAGCACCCCAGGTCTTCTGAAGTGCATTTAGCTTGGAATGCAGTAAGCAGAGACTTGCCTAACAGGAGTCGAAACCCAGTAAATGCTGCAGCCTGCATGAGCTGCTTGTTCCTTCCTCAGGGCACGTGGGCCCATCTGATCTGCCCCTCCTGGGGCAGCTGGGCAGCTCTGTTGAGAACCGCTTTGTGAAGATTCCATGTCCTACTTCTCAGTTGAGGAAAGCGTTAAGAGATGCGGGTAGATGGGAAGACAGACTGAGAAAGAAGAACTGGCCTAAAGTTCACAGCAGATTTTTCCACTCATTTTATTGTGACCCACAGAACATATAAGACAGCTATTGCTGGGGGCCAGGGAGTTAGCTCAGTAGAATAAGTGCTTGCCTGGCAAGCGCAAGGGCCTGAGTTCAATCCCCGGTTCCGCAAAAAAAAAAAAAAAAAAAAAAAAAAAAAAAAAAAAGACAGCTATTGCTGTTCTACTTTATGTGTGAGGAAACTGAAGCTGAGGATCGCAGCGAGTCAGGACTGAGGGAAAGGAAGTAAAACCTGCTTATTTATTCTGTTCATCTGTCCATCTCTACCTAGTGATGTTTTTATCACTCCAATAAAAAACATAAACACCAGGTGAGATTTTTCGGGGAAGGCCATTCACAGTGCTTCCAGATACTTCTTCCTCTGAGACAAACGGCTACCTTGGAAGAAATAGGAGACTTTGTCCCATCTCTGAAATGAACCTCGGAGCCCAGCAGGCCTCAGTGTTCCACAGAACGCACAGAGCCTGCTTCAGAGCCTGCTTCACACGGTGCTCACGTAGCTAACGCTGCAGAAGCTAGACCCAAAAAGTCGCAGAAAGTGACCCAGGCAGGGGAACGGCTGACTCTGTGCTGCTCGCCCGCAGACCCTTGGCCAGGGCTGGCAAATTGAAGGGGCCCCCACGAGGCGCACAGGCCTGGGGATCAGCCTTGTCCTGCATTTAGGCCACATAAATGCTGACCTGTGTGTCTGAGCCTCAGCATTCTTGTTCATGAAATGCAGGTGAAAGGGGTTGGTCCATCTCTTGCTGCCATTACTCAGACTAATGTTTTCCCAGCTCTGGGGCTTTTATTTGTTGCTTGTTTTTTATTATTATTTTTTTTTAATTTGACCAGCAATTGTGCTGAGTGTCTTACAGCATTGGCAAACCATCCCTAAGTGCCAGGTGCCCTAGTGCCCATTCCAGAGGTGGGGACAGAGACTAAGAGAAGATAGGAAGCTCACAAGAAGCTCAAAACCTGGGTAGTCGGATCAGACATCCATTCCCCAGGAATCTTGAGAGTTTGGGGGCAGCAGAGGCACAGAACAGAAGCTCATTCTGGGGCAGAGACTCTCAAGCAGGCATGGGGTGCAGGGTTCTGCTGCTAATTCTCCGGCCTTCATTTGGACATTTTAGGTAGCATGAAGCGCAGGCTCGAGCGTTTTGCATTTATCAAGGGAGCATAATAGATAAAGTACAAATGTTCACCGTAGGTTCTCCCTCTGTGGGAACACAGGGAAAGGCCGTGGACACCTGGAAGCAGGGTGCTCCATACTTTGTTATCAGCTCTAGATAAAAAGTGGCGCACCATGTATGGAGGTACAGTCCTGCAAGCCCAGCTACTCCAGAGGCAGAGGCAGGAGGATTGTGAATTCCAGGCCAGCCTGGGCAACCTAGGCAGACCCTGTCTTAAAATTTAAAATGTAAAATAGAAAGGGCTGGAGATGTCACCCGGCGGTGGGGTTCTTGGCTAGTGTGAATAGAGAGCCCCAGGTTTAATGCTCAGTATGGCAAAAAAATAAAATAAAAACATGTCATTGTACCTCCACCCTCACCAACACTGTCACCATACTTAAGCTGAGTATCTCAGAATATTCTGAGAGACTTTGTGTTGATGTCTCTTTGCCTCCAAAGAGGTCTTTTATGTCTCTTCTAGGCTGGTTTCACCTGAATGAACAGGTGGGGGAGGGGAGAGGGGCTCGCAGCGAGCCCCTCCCCCACCCAAGCCCAGCATTCCCTTCCAAAGGCTTTAGACTGATCACAGGTGGAGCAGGCCAGGCAGACTTCTACTCAGGCGCTGTTTCCATTGTGGAACTAATTCATTTTACTGGCTCAGATCAGAAGTCCCCAAATTCCTCGACATTTAACTCTTAAAACAGCTAGTCAGCTCCACTACTATGAACCTTGGCGGGGGAAAAAAATCAAGTCCAAATCTAGAAGGTGCTCGAAAAGAAAATTAACCAAGCAAGTACAGGGGTGCACACCAGTAATCCTAGCACCCCTGAGGCTGAGTTGGGAAGATCAGTAGTTCAAGGCCAGCCTGGGCTTCAGGACTACCCTCAACTACAGAGTGGACCCTGTCTCAAAACAAAAAATAATGTGAGGGAGTGTACTAAATGCCACTGAACCGTACACTTTACAATGGCCATTTTATGTTGCATGAACTGTACCACCACAAAAATTTTTTAAAACTGGAGAATGTGCTCAGCACCGTGCTAGCCATATCTAACTGGTGGCATGGTCTAGAGCTCTCCTATGAGCATTCTGACACTGTGCACTATGAGAATTCTAACGCCACGCACATGCAAGGAAGCGTCATAAACAACAAGTCGGATGGCTTTAAGCCTGGGCAGCTCCAATCCAGTGTCATTA